GGGGGGGGGGGTGGTTATATGACTAAAAACATAACAAAACAGAAGCTCGCTCTTTCTCATTGCACACTGGTAAGAATGCCAGAGTCGCTAAGTTCAGTGAAACCTTAGCTTAAAGTTAAAACATGACATACGTGGGTTTTACCCCCAGCTTCGTCAGCACAGGGAGTAAGTGTCCATAGAAGCCGCAATGTAGGGTGATAGCTCAGACCATGGACTCCAGAGTGGGACCACCTGGGTTCCAAAACCGGCTTTGCCCCTTCCTAGCTGTGTGACTTTGGACAAGTTAATTAACCTCTCTGTGCCACTCATGGATAAAATGGGGATCAGCATAGCACCTCTGGAGGGCGACGCCCTTAGCACGACGGTGCCTGCTCTCACAGGAAGTGCTCAGCGGATCTTAGTTACCATCAGCGGCAGCCAGCTGTGTGACCTTGGACCAGCCTTGGTTTTCTTACCTGCACAATGGACATATGTGGCAGGACCGTTGCAAGCACTAAACGAGAAAGTGTAGGTGAAGGTGCTTTCATTTCACGATTGAAGGAAACCAAGAGCAGCTGTTCTCTGTGCGGCCAGCACACGTGGGGTGCGAGGGCCAAGCTGAGACTGCAGACAGATGGGGGAGGGCCGGGACAGCAGCCTCGGAGCGCCCCCCTCCCACCTCTGGGGGCGATTCGGCTGTGCAGGAGGAGGGAGGAGGCCGGAAGCGGGGCACGGGCTCCAGAAGGGAGGGATTATCATCTCAAGAATTAGAGCGAAGAGCTTGGTGACAGATGGACAGGAGGAGGAGTTTCCCGAGGCTCTTTTCCACTCTGGGGCCGGGGCTGGGGCCAGATGGGGGTCGACCCAGCCTTGCCCAACCTCACTGTGGAAACCCCAGCTTTGCTGAGGCGATAGGAGCAGTTTTGTGCAAACCCTCCCCCCACTGATGTGCAGGACTGGGGCGGGCGGGGTGGGGGGAGTTCTCATCGCTCCATCGATTTGCTGACATCTCCCCAACAGCCTCGCCAGGGCCACATGCATGCTGCCAGCAGGGACCCAGCAGGGACCAGCAGGACTTTGCCCCAGTCACTGGCCATCTCCCCTCGGTGGATGAAGTATAAGCAAATGCCTAAAGGGGACGGGCGGGACCCGCCGTTCGCACTGGGGATCGAGTCTCATGACTATGTTGCAGTCTCTGCCTCCCAGCAGGGGAAATGCAGCCACTTCCTGAGCAAATGGGGGTCAGAGCTGAGTCTGTGTCACCCCCTCCCGCTGAGCCCCAGCGGCTACTCAGCCTTTCCGCGTGTCTACCCTCTGCAGTCGGTCAGTTTGCCGATGCTCTTGTGTTGCTTCCTGTGTTTTTTTATTGGCTTTGCCAAGTCCCTTGCAAGCATTCTGAGTGCAGAAAACATGCCTCTCCTTCCCCCCCACCCCCACCCTGCTCTCCTACCAAAGAGGCAATGTGGTCTGAGCAGAGGGTCTGTGCTAGAGCCCCATGTTCTGGCCTTGGCCTTGGGGGCCCTCTGTTGAATCCCTTCTATTCGGGGTGACTCTGACTCCTTGTTTGTAAAACGAATGATAACACCGGAATCCCCTTCAATCTGGGGCCCTTTCTGGCCTATCACCAAGTTTTTACCCAGAAATCCCTTTCCGGCAAAAGGCAGATTAGACTAGATGGCTGTCTTTTGGCTCCAGTGTCACTCTGCCGTTCTCCCGAGTCAAGAATTAGGACCTCCTTAGGTGCAGGTGGCACCCACAGGGATAAATGACACCCACAGATGCCACAGGCAGTTTAGAAAGGGGCCGGGAGATAGCAGAAGGGATCCAGAAGGAAGAAGAGGGCTAGGAAAGCAGCAAAAGAGGACAGAGGGAATGAGAGATACTGGTAAGATCCCCCCATAAGGGCCCCAAGACAGCCTTCAAAGGCATCTGAGAGCCTCCTGTCCCTCACTCAGAAGATGCTGCCCCTGCAAATGTCCCACCACCCAGCCAACTGCCTGGGGCTCAGTCCAGATCCAGGGACAATCTCAGCATATCATAGCTGACCCCAGTTTTTCCTTGGACAGCCTCTGCCCCACCTTTTAGGAAAGCTGTCCTGCCTCATGGGGCCCTATGTTTTGTCACCAGGAAACGTCCCGATGTTGTGACGGTGACTGAATGGAAGGCGCCGGTCGTGTGGGAAGGCACTTACAACAAAGCCATCTTAGAAAATTATTACGCCAGACAGAAAATTACCGTGGGTCTAACGGTCTTTGCTGTCGGAAGGTAAGTGTCCCTAATAAAGTCGACCTCCGTCTTTTCTTGTTTCATTGTCCAGATGTTTGTGAGGGGCCCCCTGGGCTTACGGAGCGCTTCCTGCCTTGTCTGAATTATTAAATAGGAGAATGTGAGAACAGGACCGTTTTAGTCTTGTTTCTGCTGAGGCCCCCAAAAGGCTGACAGAGCAAAACAATAGTAGGTGAGTCGACTCCTTCCCACCTCAAAGTGAGGGTCTCGGGTTGCAGGTAAAAATGTCTGCTACACCCACCGAGCCTAGAGTCCGCAGTCCACCCACAACAACCTCCTTCCTGACCTCCATGGCTTTCTCTGGAAGTTCCAAAAATGGCAGCTGTGGGCCCAAACACGTGTCACTCTTTGCCCTACACTCTCAAGCCCAGGACCGAGGACTGAAGGATCTACAGCAAGCTCTGGATCCAGACTGACCCAACAGGGGTGGTTCTCCACGTTGGAACATGGCTGACCGCTCTTCCTTGGGTTCCTCGGGCCTTCCTTGGCTCCCGGAGATTCAGCCAGCCAGAACTTCCTCTTCCAGACGTTGGGGAGGTTCCCGATTCAGATTCCATTTCCTCGTTTAGAACCCCCCTTCCAAAGCTGCAATCATTCTTACTCGAAATTAGTAGCCGTAATATTAGTTTTAAAGTGTAACCCATTTTGCTCTCTTGGAGAGTTTCTGTGGGTTTGTTTCCCCCAAACAAAAGCAAGAGTTCGATTTGCCTCTTCCCCCACCCCCGCTGTGAGCCTTTCCTCCGGTTCCTCTCCTGGAAACCACACGGGAAGTTGATCCCTCGGCCTGTACAAAGAGTGTCAAAGGCCTCGGCTGATCTGAGCTTGGGCTCTGCCCACTGTAGGACCTGAAGGAGAGCTCCGTGAAGCTCCTGAGACCTCCAACCCAGAGGCCAGAAGCCACTGCTGTTGCAATACTAATCAGGTACGGTGACCTGGTTAGTCACCTGGGCGGCATCTCTAATAGAGACAGCTGACTCTGGCGTTTTGACATTTTCCTCGGGAGAATCTGTACCGTTCTGAGTCAGGAGGCGATACTCAGCTCACCTAAGCCCGCGACACGAATGTGGTAGAGGGATTCGATGCGGGTGTTCCCCAAAAGCACAGAACACTCCACAATGGCTTCACCGTCCAGTTTGCGACTCTGCAGAACCAAGCCGTAAATCGCATATCCTGGAGAAAGCCCTATTTGTAAATCCCGTATCCTGGGGAAAGCCCTAATGCTCTCAGCTGTGAGGCATGAGAGGTACTCAGCAGCAATAAATCCTCACAAGAGTGGATCTGGACTTTTAGGAGGTGTGATGTTTGGTTTGTTTTCAAATAACAATGCAGGAAGCCAACAGCAGTGTTTTAATCCCTAAACAATGTTAAACCTCCAGGGGCTCCCTCCCTTGCCCCTGGATTGTCTCCGAAGCTTCAGAACACAATAGATTTTTCTTAAAGTTCCAGAGTGCCCAAGAATTTCCTGGCAACCAGCCACAGAGCCGTGTTAAACTCCCTGTTTGTACTGCTCAGATCTCTTCTTTCCATTTAAATGAATCAGTACCGTAAACTCTCGGGCTTCTAGAGGGCGGCATTAAAAGCACACTTTATTTTGGTAGTAAAGAAAGGAAATCCAGGCAGCAACCAAAAAGCAAAACAGAGTGCCGGTTATGATGGCTCACAAAACATCTTGATTGGCTGCTGGCATGATCCACAAATTAAAGTCAGTCCACATTCACTGAGCTGGGCCTGAGTCTGGGGTCTGCATGAGTCGCATTAAGCTGTCTGACTACTACTGCGTAGCCTGGGTCGCGGGAGACACCAACACGATGTGTCTTGAATGAATACATACATAGCTGAAACATCGCCACCCACCCATTAGAATGGCCCAGATCCAAAACACTGACAATGCCAAATGCTGGCAAGGGTGTGGAGCGACAGAGACGCTCATTCATTACTGGTAGGAACGTAAAGCGGTGCAAACCATTTGGAAGATGGTTTGGCAGATTCTTACAAAACTAAACATTAATGGTACCACGCAGTCCAGCAAGGGCCCTCCTTGGTGTTCAGCCAAAGGAGCTGGAAACTTATGTCTACAAAACAACCCTATACACAGATGTTTACGGCAGCTTTATTCCTAATGGCCAAAACTTGCAGGCCACCAAGATGTCCTTCGGTAGGTGAGTGGATAAATAAACTGTAACATCTGGAATATTATCAGTGCTAAAAAGAAATAAGCTATCAAGCCAGGCAAAGATATGAAGGAACCTTGAATGCGTGTTACTTAGTGACAGAAACCAATCTAAAGGGGCTGTATACTGTATGGTTCCAACTCTGTGACATTCTGGAAAAGGCAAAACTCTGGAGACAGGGAAAGATCAGTAGTTGCCGGGGGTGGATGAACAGGCAGCACACAGGATTTTTAGGGCAGTGAAAATACTCCATATAATACCATACACAGTGACGGATACATGGCACTGTACATTTGTCCAAATCCATGGAATGTACAACACCAAGAATGGATCTTAGTGTAAACCAGGAGGTGATAAGGACATGTCAGTGTAGGCTCATGGATTGCAAGGCACGTATCACCCTGATGCTAGATATTGATAGTGGGGGGGGAAGCCATGGAGTGGGGGCAGGGAAGGTACATGGGAACTTTCTGTGCTTTCAGCTCAGTTTTGCTGTGAACCTAAAAATGCTCCAAGAAATAAAATGTATTGTGAAAAACAAGGAAAAGATAGTTAAACCAAGCTTAAGTCAGGGGTTGTTTGCTCTGGTGTTTGGATGAGTCTTACGAGGGTGGTGTCTTAACAGTGGATCGGCGTTTGGGGTGAGCAGTGGGAGGCTCACGGGGTGAATATGTAATATGGAGGGATATCCCCGTCCCATAACCCATTCTCTGGGTCCCAGAGGAGGATATAAGAATGGTGATGGTTAGGCTTAATACATCCCCAAAGGACCCAGATGTCACTCTTGCATCTGGTAGGGCAGGAGCAACGTTGGGTATAGTTTGAGGGAGAAGTGGTGTCCCCTGCTGTTGGGCAGAGGATACACAAATTTCCAGCTATAAGATGAGTAAGTTCGAGGGATCTGGTGTATATCCTGGTGATTATAGCTAATAAAACCGTATTATACACTTGAAAGTTGTTAAGAGAATAGACCTCCAATGTTCTCACCACAAAAAAGAGACGGTAGTTATGTGACACGATGGAGGTATCAGCTAAGGCTATAGTGGTAATCATTGCGTAATATATAAGCATGTCAGATCAACACTTTGGACGCCCGACACTCCCACGTTGCTCTATGTCAATTCCACCTCAGTAAAGCTGGGGGAAAAATAACTAGCACCCACTCTGCCTGCCCCCAGTCTGGCCCAACTGATAAACAAGGCAAAAGGCTAAATAAGATAGATGATAGTGAGCATCACCTTTATCACAGTTAAAGCTGGTGCCGGGGAAAGTGGCTTCTATTTGCAGACCCTAGGTCTCCTGCTACTGAATCACGGAATCTGAAAGATTAGGTACCCAGGCTTCCAGATGTGGAGTAGGGCCTGTCTCACTAGGGCTCACTTTAAGGCCCCGAGCTGTGCTGTTCGGAGCACAGACTCTCCCCACCTGCTGGTGGCCATTTCCAAGAGGCAGAGTGGTGGGGGCAGGGCTGCAGAGGCCCCGTCACTCTTCCAAAATCAGCAGGTAAGTCACTCCTCTTCCCCAAAGTGGAGCGAATGAATGGTGGAAGGCAGCCAGGAATGTTACACTATCAGATGTGGAAAACACATGTCTGGGAGAGGGGAAACCATTCCTCCCCTAAACTGCAAAACCAAAACAAAACAAAACAAAACAAAACAAAACAAAACGATGATTAGAATAGCACGCAGCCTCCTGTACAAATCCCAGTGGTTAAATTTGTCCCCTTCTCCTTTGTTTCAGATACATTGAGCATTACTTGGAGGAGTTCTTAATATCTGCTAATAGGTACTTCATGGTTGGCCACAAAGTCATATTTTACATCATGGTGGACGATGTCTCCAAGATGCCCTTGATAGAGCTGGGTCCTCTGCGTTCCTTCAAAGTGTTTGAGATCAAGCCTGAGAAGAGGTGGCAGGACATCAGCATGATGCGCATGAAGATCATCGGGGAGCACATTGTGGCCCACATCCAGCATGAGGTGGACTTCCTCTTCTGCATGGACGTGGACCAGGTCTTCCAAGATAGCTTTGGAGTGGAGACCCTGGGCCAGTCGGTGGCTCAGCTACAGGCCTGGTGGTACAAGGCAGATCCTGACGAGTTTACCTATGAGAGGCGGAAGGAATCCGCAGCATACATTCCGTTCGGCGAGGGAGATTTTTATTACCACGCTGCCATTTTTGGAGGAACGCCCACTCAGGTCCTAAACATCACCCAGGAGTGCTTCAAGGGAATTCTCCAGGACAAGAAAAATGACATAGAAGCCGAGTGGCATGATGAAAGCCACCTAAATAAGTATTTCCTTCTCAACAAACCCACTAAAATTTTATCCCCAGAATATTGTTGGGATTATCATATAGGCTTGCCTTCAGATATTAAGATTGTCAAGATATCTTGGCAGACGAAAGAGTATAATTTGGTTAGAAATAATATCTGATTTTAAATTGTGCCGGTAGGTTTCTGAATTTGAGAGAGTAGTATTCTGGCTACTTCCTCAGAAAAGTAACACTTAATTTTAACTTTTAAACAATACTAACAAACCGCCAACTTCTCTTCTTCCTGGTAACTTTGAACCTTGCATTATGGGAGGATGAAACCTACAGGAATCAGATGTAAATTCCCAGTGATTTCTGATCTCTTCTGGGTTTGGGGGAAATACTATCAACTGGACCAAACGCTCACCAAAAAATTGACACAGGCAAAGAAAAAGCCAGAAACACTCTACATGTGCCAGATAATGTACTGGAGAAAAGGGTGCTAAGGGAAGTGTTTGGCAGCAAGATACGATTGTGGGGGGAGGGGGTCATCCCCTTGACTTCAGTGTCTCTGCTGAGTCCCAAGCATCATCGAGTTGCTTGGCGACAGAAGAACTCTGAGTAAGGGCACGGTCCACCTTGGCAATCCTCACATGGTTTCACTGGCAGACTGCTTCAGGCCATTTGCCACCCGTGTTCTTTTCCCATCGGGAAAATGTTGTTTGGCTCCCGTGCAGAATCTTCCTGGTGGAGATTCCCAAGGGAGACCATGGTGGCGCGTGTTTGGAGTCACGGGGAATCTGAATGAGCCAGTGGTTGCTCAGCATGGAGTGAAAACAGACTCAGAGTTGAGTTTGCCATGGAAAAGCAAAGAGAGTGGAAAAAGAGGAGGCTGATATCTGTGGGCCACCTCGGAGGGGCCCAGGGCATGGGGCTGGTCCTTAAACACAGCATGGATCCGGGCGCTGAGTGGGGGGCAGGGTGGGTAGTCTCTGGCTTCCGCAGACCCGCGACGACCAGCACTGCGGGGACTTGAGTGGAAGATGTTTCTTGTTTTGCCCAAGGCGCATTCAGTCCGCCAGACTCCGGTCTTCGGTTCCTTGGCCGGAGAAGTGGATGGTGTCAGAGAAGGCAACGGCCCGCAGTGGACTGAAGAGGCTTGCAAGGAGTTACGTTTCCCAAACCCGGGCTTCATGACAATAAGTCATCAACATGCCCTGCTGCCACCTGCTCTAACCCTCAGGGTCCCCGCAGCCCGTTACGCCCCAACCTGGAGGGCTGACATCAAGGAGTTTGGAAAGCCCTCGGGTCAAGTAACTTTTCATTTTCCCCTGCCCTGTCTGCACTACTGAAGTGTGACAACCAGATACATTTAATAAAATGGCTAATTGATTTTATATCGAAAGCAGAGGGGATGGCGGTGAGAGACCCAGTCCTCATGAATGAACAGCTTAACATACAATGCCCTTCTCTAAGAGAAGCTATGGAATCCTACGCATTACTTCAAGTTGAGCAATTCGATGTACAGGAGTTAGGAGGCAGCATTTACATATGCAGGTGTATTTATAGTTTGCTCATGTTCCAGTTTTGGTCATTTGTTTCCACTTTTAAGTGATTTATTTGAAGAGCCACCGCACTTGGTGTTCAGCACAATGGGCTTATTTGATACAGTGAAACCTACATTTTTTTCTACCATGTCACTGTGCCTCCTACTCTTCAATCCGTGCCAGAAAATCTCACAATCCAGCAAAATGAAGCAAAACCAACAACGACAACAACAACAAAAATTCTGAAGAAATGGGCTTTGTAAAAGAAAACGGAGACCGCATGTCAGGACGCTGCCTCTCCAGAACTGACCTTTCCTGGGATCCATCCATTCTGGAGTAGAGACAGTTAAGCATTTAAATCCTAAACCAAAGAAATGATCTCTCTTAAAAGATTAGGGAAGAGAGTTGATGTTTACTTTTGAGGGAATCTGGATATTTTTTTTACTCATTTAAATTTAAATCCCCAAACAAACTCCAGATCTCATTGATAGTTATTCTTAAACATTAAAAAAAAAAAAATAAAATTCACAATTCACAATTGAATAAATTATTTTCTCAATAGATCCTGGTCTGGTCATGGATTGTGCATTTTCTCCCAAAGATGTTCAGGATCGTCAGTTGTAACATTTTAAATTCTTGGACTCCAAAAAGTCCTGATGTCCTCTTAAAAATGTGTTCACTATTACAAAGATAGAACATGGTTGAGAGTCCCAAGCTTTCAAAACAATAAGTGCTTATGGAGAGCTTTCCAAAGTGGTGCATTGAAATAATTCACTGCCAGTGGAGGAACCAGAAAGAAAAAGGCTTGCCCCTCAACCCCAGGGTGGGGCGCCAGCACAGAGGGAGAAAACAATGTCATAACTACATCTGGGGATTATTAGTCCTGACCTCTGGGGAATATATGTGGCCAAGGAGGCGCTGGAAAAAGGCTGGATCTCCAGCAAAGTCAGGGCGGGTGTATTTGTAATAAATGGAAAGATGAAAACCGACCAGACTGATGTAGTGTGGCACACTGGATATACAACAGGGCATCATTCCCTCATTGGAGAGAATTATTTTCATTTTATAGATAAGCAGAGTGATATTCAGCAAGGTTAGCCACCCAGCTAGCAAATGACTGAGCTGAAGCTCAAACCAGAGAAGCTGGCAAGGATAAATGTGTTAACATACACATACGAAGGGCTGCGTGTGTTTCATATCAAGGAAAATGCAACTTTATTTGTTTTTTAGTTTATTCATTTTGAGAGAGAGAGCACAAGTGGGGGAGGAACAGAGAGAGAAGGGGAGAGAGAGAATCCCAAGCAGGCTTCACGCTGTCAGCACCAGACCCCGACTCGGGGCTCGAACCTACGAACCATGAGACCATGACCTGAGCCGAAATCAATAGCAGCCTAACCGACTGAGCCACTCAGACGTCCCGGAAGATGCAACTTTATAGAAGTATCTTATAAAGGGGCATTTTTCCATAAGAATATTTTAAAAATTAGGTGTGTAAGGGGCACCTGGGTGGCTCAGTCGGTTAAGCATCCAACTTCTGCTCAGGTCATGATCTGGTGGTTCGTGGGTTCGAGCCCTGTGTCAGGCTCTGTGCTGGCAGCTCAGAGCCTGGAGCCTGCTTCGGATTCCGTGTCTCCCTCTCTCTCTGCCCCTTCCCCACTTGCTCTCTCTCTCTCTCTATCTTTCTCTCCCTCTCCCTCTCAAAAATAAATAAACATTAAAAAAATTTTTTAAATAAAAACTAAGTGTGTCCCCAAGCCTGTTGTACTATTTCCCACTTTTTCTGCATGAAACCTCCCCAAATGCATTAAATTATTTAAAATGGATCATATAAAAAATAAATAAAGACTGTGATCATTCTCTTTAAAAAATAAAACATTTTTCTTTTTAAATTTTATTTTGAGAGAGAGAGAGAGAACTAGCAGGGAAGGGGCAGAGAAGGAGAGAGAGAATTCCCAATAGACTCCGTACAGGCAGCGCAGAGCCCAAAGCAGGGCTCAAACTTACGAACTGTGAGATCAGGCCTGAGCTGAAATCAAGTTGGATGCTTAACCAACTGAGCCACCCAGGCGCCCCTGTGATAATTCTTATCTTTACTTTGTGCATGCAGGGCTGATGCAATCCCTATGGACACACACTGAGCTGTTGTGCCAAGGCAGTGCCTTGGAGGGCATGATTGGGCAGAGGGGGCAGGTGGAAGGGACAGCCATGCCTCCTCCTTCCACTCCTTCTCTAACCTGGGGGCCCCATGCAGCTGGAAGGGGACAGGTTTCTTCAAGCCCTGAAGAGCCTCACTTCTCTTATCCTTGGAATGACACCATCTTTGATGCCTCCCAGCCAAAGTCACCATGTGATTTACTGATAAGGGAATCACAGTTATGGCAATACTTACAGTTAACAAGTATTTATTAAATGCACTATTTGTTAAATGTACCTTACATAAATGAATATGCATAAATGAACATAGGCACAATAGCAAACCAACAGGGGTGAAGCCTCATAGAAAGTGAATGCGTAACATGCGATGTATACTTTTTAAGGAGAGAAAGCAGAGTTAAGTGAGGATCCAGCCGTCAAAGCCTCAGATCTGTAAGGACACAGACTAGGATTCAAACCCAGGACTGTCTAAAGCCTTTGCTCTTTCCACAGCTCCCATCTGCTTCCCCCACTCTCTCTTTCATGTATGTGCATGCAAATACACACACACACACACACACACACACACACACACACACACACATTTTACTATCTTGTTTTTGAAACTGGAGGACACCAAAGTAATCACCACCAAAAGCTCTCAATTCCTTTATGAGGCATTCAAGAGAGAATTTAGTAGACCAAAAACTCTTAGAATGTAGGTCTAAAGCCATCATAGAGCCAAGCTGGAGAAGCAGACAAATGATACATGAGCAATACAGGGCCCAGGGAAGCATGGGGAAAGGGAGGAGGAGACTGCGTCAGAGGGGCTGACTCTGAACTGAGCTTTGAGAGAAGAGAAGGGGGTGACTGAGGAGTGGAGATGGAATGGGTTCCAGGGGGAAGAGCAGCAGATGTGAAGCACAGAGGACTACCAGCAGACCTTCTCGGAGACCCACACAGATGGTGCCGGGGCCTTGGTACTGGACGAAATCACCTGGTAGAGCCTGCGTGGAAAGTGGTAAAGAACATGTGAGCACTTTGGCTGGATGAGGACTCCACATATGTGTAGCATTTGTGGCTCTCTTTCTCCCCTCCCAGCAATGCCTGGGCTCCTTTATGGAGTCTCCATGATTTCTATGGAGCAAAGGATCCAGACTAAGCCGATCAGCACTTCCCATGCCCTTGGTGGCAGTGGTTGATTCAGTGGTGGGCAGGTGACCTAAATTGGTCCAATGAAAGCGAATCTCAGGTTCTCTTGGGAAATGAGGACACATGTTGTATTGGGAGCTTGACCGCAGGGAGGTCAGAGTTAGGATGAAATGGACAATAGGACACGAGAAACAGGGACGCTGAAGGAAATGCAGTCCTTGATGACAACCTGAGTCCCTGGCTCCAGCCTTACCTGAAGCCTGCACTGCTTGTGGGCTTTTCAAATGTGTGAGTCCCATTATTAAGTCAGATGGAAATGGGCTTTCTCTTGTAACTGAAGATATCCCCGT